TCCAGGTAATGCAAATATCTGTATATGTAAATCTAAGTAATTAAAATTGACACATGTCACTGCGGAATTTTTTGTCATACTGAGAAGTCTCATGTCAATGTCATACAGTTTTTATGACCATATGAAATGTTTCAAATTACAGATAGTTTAAAGAAGAATGAATGCTATATTATTACCAGTGTTTTGTCATTTTACTCTATGTTTCCATCCCAATTTAATCCCCAGGTCTCCGTTAATGATTGCTGCTAGTAATGGACAGATCGGTATGCTGCGGCTACTTTTGCGCTTTAATGCTGATGTAACACTAAAGGATACCAAAGGATGGTCAGCTGATGACTATGCAGTAATGAATGGGCATCACCCGTAAGTTCTACTAAAGAATACCACAAATTTACAATTTCCTGTTTAATTTTATGCTTTTTTTTAGTTCTTTCATTGTAAACCATAACAGCAACCCATCTACGCCGTTTACAGTTGTTCCCTTCTTATCATTGAGCACGGCACTCAGAGAAGCGGTGGTCCCTCTCATTCTCATCAAGGCCAGAACAAAAAGAAAAAAGTATCAATGACTGGAAGTCCTTACCATGATGTTGAAGCTGGCTTCTCACTTGGAGGACCAGCCACTGATAAAGATGGTAACGTACACTGTTTCGCCACTCACAACGATAAGTTGTAGTATGGTGTGATTATAATTAAAAATATGAATCTATTTATTATTCACTTTGATTATTTCATTCACTCCGCATGCTTTACCACTTGACTGGATCTAGAGCATGGAGCAAATGAAGCAGGGGGAGGTATTACTTTGTTTAGATGAGCTTTGTCTGCAAAAAAAAAAAAAAAAATCAGTTTTCTGCCAGTGACAACCATAACTAATTATCAAAGATGAAGAACGTGTTACTAGAATAATTTTGTGTGCCATGTTTCCTAGATTGTAGAGCTTTGTGCATTTCCGCGATGTGGTCACAAACTTGAATGCTATTGTGGAAGTTGATTCTAATTCAAGGTTCACTGCTGTGTTTCAGATGCCGAAGATATTTCTCAGTCAGAGTCACTTAGTCGGTGAGCGTCATGTCGTTGTTGTTTTTTTCCGTCTCCAACATGCAGTAAATATTTACTTTAGCTCAGTTAAAACCATTCCTCCTCCATCCTCAGTGTTTCTAAAAGTGCATCTGATGAATGGCCTTCATCTGAAGAAGATGAGGAGGAGGAGCTGGTTTTGAGCAAAAAGGTTGGTTCATGACTACTCAGTGTCTCTTTTCACCGAAACATTATATTACATGTTAATTTTGTTTTGTTGTCTCTCAGAAACCGCAAAAAGTAAACCTAAGAAAGATGATTGCAACTAAAAAGGGTGAAGGTATTTGAGATTCTTCCAATTTTCAGAATATTGTCCTTCTTTCCATTTTCTACTCTGTAGTTTTCAATAGTAACCGTTTGTCCATCCCCCTTCCATCAGCTTCTGCACTGCTTGACCAATCCTTGAGTGGTACAGAATCTGATCTGGAGAATGACACTAGAATCCAGAGAATCCCTTCCCTTCATCACCAGAGTTTACACTCCAGGAACGTTTTGCAGCAGCCAGTAGAGCCAGCTCCCATTTCTTTCATTTCCAAAGCACCTCAAAAGACCTTCAACCCACAAGAGGTAACTTTTTATTAATGGAATCTTTGACTTTCTTTTCCTTTTTCTTTTCTCTAAACATACGCAAAAGCAGACACAGAAATTGAGCAAAGGACAAACAGAAACACTGGTGAGGAGAGTTCAGAAGAAGAGGACTTGGGGGATGAAGATAGTGGAAAAGAAGATGAGGAGGAGGCAGAGGAAGATGATCATGAAGAATGGGAAGAGGAGGAGGAGGAAGAAGACTATAATGAGGATGATGAAGAAAGTGATGAGGATGATGACGATGATGAAGAAGGTGATGAGGATAAAGAAGAGGAAGATGATGATGTTGAAGGAAGTGAAGAAGAGAAAGAAAATGAGAACAGCATTAACAACTTCGTGACCAACGCATCTAAACTTAAGGAAGCTGAGAACCAATCGATCTGCGCTGCTCGTCCAACCACGGTACAAACTACATCTTGTAATGTCAGGTTTTGCGACTTTGGAAGAACCAGTGAAAATATGGAGTCCTCCCAGGTAGATGCAAAAATAAATGATGGAACTACTGGTCCTGTCTGCTCCGCTGGAACAGCAAGCTCCGCGATGGCAACATTAAACGTTGAGGATGACTGTGTTGTGTCAGCCATTAGGGTAGAGTCAAAATATTCTGACGAAGACGACAGCCTTTTAAAAGACGGCATATGGTCAAAGGACAAAAGCATCAAGTTGGATTTGAAATGTGACACTTCACCGTCTCAGTGTGGTGCCGAGGTGCATTCACAGAGCTTAGTTAAAGACGAACAACACGGTGCTTACGGTGATGAAGAAAAGAGGGAGTATAGTTGCAGAAGTGCGATTGCCAGAATTAAAAATGATTCATCTCAATTTAGTCCGGCAGAAAGCGACAGCGATCCCGACAATAAAGATGACGCCAACCCCAAAAAAGGGAAACGCAGGTCTTCTTGGGGCTCCTCATTAGACAGTGACACTGATGTGGTCGAGGCCGAAGGGATCAAAAATGAGAGTCTTGATGAGAAAACCGATGTTCCAGTATCATTGCAGGGGAAAAGGGAAGCAAACAAACCATCTCCTCAGATTGAAGATAAACACTGTTCCATGGAGCCTTGGGAAGAAGTCCAAGAACATCGTGAGAAGAAAACCATTGACCTTCTCACTGCACCATCACTGGAACCCTGTGTGAGAAACACATCTAGAAAACACAAAAAGGAAAAGAGTGAAGTCATAGCAGACGATATTATTAAAGATGGAAAAAAAGCCTTGCCTCAGACTGACATTGACAATGTGGACTCAGATTTGCCCGATGAAGCAGAGTCAGCAGCGATTAAAAATACAGCGTTAAGAAGCGTTAATGACTCTCCCTCCCAGGTAACAGAAATACAACGGACAAAGTTGGGCTGTGGTTACTTCATGTCTAGTAACAGACACATTTCAATGTGGTGTAGCTTAAAGAATTTCGATAATCCTAAGGTTTATTTAATTATAGAAAGAGGATTCTACTGGGGAGGAGGAGGAGGAGGAGGAGGATGATGATGAAGAGGAGGAAGACGACGATGATGACAATGAGCAAGTGGGGGATGATGAAGAGGAAGATGAGGAGGAAGATGATCAGCCTGCACAGATTGAAAAGTTGCCTGACGCCACAACCACTGTTCCTGTGACAGAGGTCACCAAGGATAGGAGAAGAGGTCAGTGGCTGGTTTGTTTATTTGTCCACAGATGACAACACTGCTGCTCGGAGATAAATCCTACTTTAATCTGAAAGTGATATGAAGAAATAATATTATATAAAAAGTAGTAACTTGACTCAAGTTACATTATGTTAAATGTGGAATTTCTCCAGAAAAAGTAGTAACTTGACTCAAGTTACATTGTGTTAAAATGTTACTTTATTCCTGTTCTTAGTTTATTATAATCTGTTATATATTATTTGTTATAGAAAATTTATTCAGTGTCTTTTCGACAGATTTTCTGTCAGAGCTGGGTCTGCAAAAGGAGGAGGAAGAACATAGTTCCTGGGACTCTGAGGTACATCACAGACACAAAAACATAAAACTATTGGAAGGTTTGTCTTTTATAATGACACTCTCTTGTCTTCCCTCCTGTTCAAAGTCACACTCTGAAAACCCCGATATGCTAGAAGAAAAACCAAACATGGCCACGCAGAAGGAGGAAGAGGAAGAGGGGGGGTCTGCTGCTCAACAAGTGACTAAAGAAAGTAGGTGTTTTCAAGAATGGCATTATTCTATTCTGTTTCTCCAAGCTGAGAAATCATTTCAAGCTCCATTTCATGCTTTTGAAAGTGTGAAAACTCCTCGAGTGAGTTATTCTAATTTTGATATTTACACCATTTGTTCTATGAAAAAAAAAACAGCCTTTGCAGCTCAAGCTCTATGTTGCATTTCTCTTGTAGACTTGTTTTATATTCCCTCCTTTTTAAGAGGGGAAGGAGGCGATAGGGGGGCAGTCCTAATGCCGTGGAGGAGTGTAGACAGGCCGAGAAGCAGCCAGGGAGAGGGTAAATGAATGTCTTTACATACAGGTCTGGGAAACAGCATGTCAACCGTATGAGAGACCTGTCACCTGACCATCATCTTCATAAACATCAAAAGAAAAATGCATGCAGCGTCACAGTACTGTGTCCCTCCTGCAACCCCATGAACTTCATTTCCTAAATTTAGGTTCCTATTAATGTGGCTCCTTTGATATTAATATGTTGCCATCAACAATGAGCTTGTGTCCCAGAAAGACGGGAACAAGATATTTTCTTTCTGTCTGCCTAACTTGCCTTGTTTTTTGTTTTGTTTTTTTCATGCTAAATAACCATCAGCATGTTTGCATGGGAATGCAGACTCACTCAGAGTCTCCAGGCCATCGCTGTGTTTCTTGGAGCAGCGGTTGAACCTGTTTTCTAAAACATCACGTCTTTTCTCTTCTCGCAGCTGAACACAAAGATGATGTCGTTGAACATAATGCTGACGATGACACCGCACAAAGAGAGGTGGGTGCAGAAAGTTAATGACCTACACCACGAACAAATGTTGTTTCCTTTTAATAAAATTGCATTCAATTTCTGTCCAGGTTGAGAAGCCGAAATGGGAAAAACTTGGTCTTTTGAACAGACTTGAAGAGAACAATGACAGAAAGACTGGTAAATAAAAAAGTTTAAACTTTATGATAGATAAAGAATATCTGAAAACACTCTGTTCTACAGCTTGTTTTTTTTTTTGCCTACAGACCTAATGGAGGAACTCGGTCTTGGAGATGTTGATGACCTTGAGGGTTAGTATCTCTGAAGTCTCTCTGTAACTGACACTGTTGGGTGTACAGTATTGTTAATTAACCCTTAGCCCTTTTGTCACAATCCTACAGATGCATCAGACTGGGACTCCGCCAGTACCACCAGTAGAAGAACACTGCCCGGTCGCAAAATTGCTTCCCCCATACACGATGAGATACCAGAAAGCCCAGATCCAACCAATAAAGAACCAGATGAAGATGTAACACCGGTGACGCCTCAGAGGAGCAACAACTCTGACATCAGCTCATCCCCACAACCTTTACCTCACCCTCAACCACGGGCAAGAAGATTGGTGCTTCAGAAATCAGAGAGTGAAGACGGTAAAGCGCATGTAAAACAAAAATTGTCCTTTATGACATTAACACAGCTTGTTGGCTTATTGTGTGTGACCTGCTGTCATTGAAGAATCGGACTGGAAACACGAGAACCTAGGATCTGAGTCCACTACAGACAAAACAGACAATCGCCTGAAACCCGCTGCTGATATTCAGACGATGAACAAACCAGGTGAGGCCACCAACTTTTTTTTTCCCAAATAGAACTTAGAGGCCATGTGTCTTGTGTTTTCATGACACTTTGTCTCCGCAGATTCTTCTGAGCTCTCATCAGTGGCAAGAAACGGTCAAACTCACCGGGAAGCTGACAACGGTCGTTATAAGGTGGGTCATTCTGTTTGAAATAATTCGACTGTGTGTAAATGTGTAACAGTTGAACTGTATAACCAAATATTGAAACACATTTTTTTGGTCCAATCAACAGTTTTGAGATTCATTCCCAATTCTTTAGCTCTTGTGTTCCAGTGAAAAACGTTATAAATGCAGTTAAATGAACAGAAACGTGTCAGTGTCTTGACGATCATGTGAGTGCGTGGTTGAAGGTCAAGACGTGGAGTTTGCATTTTTGTCTTTTCTGTTGTTCTGTCTTGTCCACTCATGCCGTCAAAGGAGGGACATGAGACCGAAGATTCATGTGAGGTTGACCCTAATAGCCAGTCGCCGTCATCTCTCATGAACTCGGACAGACCAGAGGTCAATGACTTTAGCGATCAGCCCAGTGTTGAAGAGACGGTCAGAGACAGTGGCGATGTCCCGTGGGAGAAACGTTACGAGAAGCTGTGGGTGGAGGTGGAGAAACGTGACGTCAAGTCCACGTTCAAGAATGTTGCTGGTGAACTGAAGGAAAGGTTCGGAGAACTGCTGAAATCTAGATGTTCAGCCGAAGAGGAACAGACCACCGCTGAGCAGAACTCGGCGGAAGAATCGTCAAGTGAAGACGAAGAAGGGGAAGTCATTGTACGTCCCACAGCGAGAGCAAGAAGAACCGTCCTCCTCCCCATACCCGAGCAGAGGGAGTCTGGACAGGAGGAGTCTGTGACAGAGTCACCAGAAAACTCTCTGTGCGAAGACCCCATGTCCAAGGAGGGCAGCACACATCGGCCGATTCCAGGTCTGCCCTACAGTGATCACCTGGAAGAGTGCGGCTCGCCTTCACCGCACCTCCACGCTGACTTAGACTTTACTGTTCAACCTGCCTCTGATGATGACGGGGGCTCAGTTATAGAAGAAGAGGAGTTTGAGTCGATCCCACAGCAGCAGACTGACTCGGAGGAAAAAACTCCCGATCAGCAAATGGAAGAGACGAGTGCGGACAGTTCTGAGGAAGCTCGTGAGAAGGCCAAGGAGTCTTCTCACCTGGTTTCTGACCAGGAGCTGAAAGAGGAAGTGGAAAGGTTTAAACCTCAGGTTGGAATGTTAACGAAGGTCTGCCTGGATTTGGAGAAAGAAAAGATTCAGCTAAAGAGAGAGGTAGAGATGATTGCCTCTCTTCTCCTTTAGTGTCTTTTAGTGAAACCTCTGGTTTTTCTTAATTGTGTTACCTTCACTATTCCAAAGGAGCCGGCAGGTCATACATCTGACATTTCAGTTGTCCAAGTCTGCTCGTCAGTTTGTCATTTTCTTATTTGGGGTTGCAACAGATGGTTGATTATTGTTTATCTACTGGAATTTTTTTGATAATAGACTAAAAAAAACCCTCCCATTTCCTTGAATGGGAATATGCTCAAATTTTGTAAAGAAATTTCTGGCAGGAAAAATACAATACCTCATTTGACATTTTCTACCATTTCCCACATTTGTTCACCAAATGATAAATCAGTCTTTTTGTTTAAAAAAAAAAAATCAGATTAAACAGTAAACGACATGATCATCAGTTGCTGCCCAGTTCCATTCTTGTTTTACATTAGTTATCTGTTTGGTTTAACGTTTACGTCCCTGTTCTTTGAAAAGTTTAAAATTCTTGTCTTGACTCGTCTTTCATTATGCATGTCCTCAGCATGTCCTCACCTTGTGTCAACACTGTCTGTGTGTGGCCTTCTTTGCTTCAAAGGAAAGAAGTGCAGTGATGAAGTTGTGTTTGGTGGATTCTTTTTAGCGGATTTTTAAGGTTCCAAATGTAAAGCATTTTTAGGCCAGTCTTCTGAAAATACTAAACACCATGACTACATAACAATTTAACTTTTTAGAATAATTTAGATTTCAGTAATTTACTACTAAAGTACTACTAGTACTACTAATAATTTTAATAATTAAAGAACAAATTTTAGTTCTTAGAATTCACATTTATGCACTGTATGCAGTTGTGTCCGTGCCTGCGTGTGTGTATGTGTGTGTAATTAACTGAAATTACCATGTCAAATAGTATCCACACGATAGTGTTAGGTCTCGGAAGGCAGGGTTGACACTGAATTATGGATGAGTAGAGTACAAGTACGCAAATAGCATCTTAAAACAGTGGCACCAACTCGTATCTGTTGGGTTTAACGTCTCCTGTGAGGCCTTTTAACATCTGCCCCTGTCCTTCCAGGTTGGTGAAGAGGTGACAGAGCCCTTAGCAGAGGTGCACAAGGCCAGTGCTTCCTGGGACGCAGGAAAAGAGACATTGAAAGAAGTGGGTACTGGGAAACCTGAGAGCAGTTCAAAATGTGTGTCAGGATCATCAGGAGCAGTTCACCAGGATTTGCAGTCTGCAGGAGCTCAGAGGTATGTGGTCTCTTCCTGTTGCACATTTGTTGTGTGGCCCCTGAGTTAATGTTAACTGTTCCTTTTACAATCACAAGAGATATTAAGTCCTTTATGTTCAATAAAACATCTGTGTGTGTTTTGTCTTTTCGCTACTTGTCCCGTTCATTGCAGTTAATCTCTTGTTGTCATGACTGACGTTGAGGTTTACTGCTCTTTTTTTTTTTAGCCCCAACGGGACAACAGTGTTATCACATCTGCCATTGCAGCAGAGCAACAGTAGCAACAACAACAAGAAGAACGGACTGACGGTGGAGGAGACCACAAAGACGGAGGTGGTCAGAGGGGCCCGGCACGGCAGGGCTCCTCAGACCAACACTCACGTCAATGGAGACCCTCTGTCTGTGTTTGACGATAGCACTTTGAGTGACGTGTCAGACAATGAAGGAATGAATGAAGGACAAGGAAGGTATATATGCAGTATGCTCCTAATTTGTATGGCTTTATCTTTGCCTCAGATTCATTCGGATTGAAGGACAGTGAATTTTACATTCAGCGTGATTGCATGCATCAGTTTGGGAAAAATGGAGAAGGCATCATGGAGGTGTCTCTATCTGTTACAAATAAACACGCCATTAGTTGTTTAAAAAAATTAAACAGTTGTAGGAAGTTGATGGGATGTAAATGGAAAAAATGTATACTGCATTATATCATAACCCTCAAGGATTTTAAGTTGTTGGTGTGCAGTTATGTGAATAACTGTTTATTTTTCTTCCATGTAATTATTGGGATTAGGTTGCCATCTAGTGGACAACCAAAGAATGAGGTGAGCCTTAAAGTTGCTGGACATTTTTGTTCCACGTGGCAAAATTTGACAAATTCTGAAGATTTTTTTTTTTTTTGTTTACATTTAGAAGCAAGACGAAATGGAGATGACAGAAGACTTCGATGAACTCACTCAGTCCTCGGACACGGCCACAGACGAGATCGACTCTCCTACTTCAGGCTATCGTCATGCATCCATCCTCATTCAGAAGCTTGACTCGGCCACCTTAGGTGCAGATTTAACTGATCCCAGTCTTGATTAAAAGATAAATTAATATGTGATGAGAAATAAAGTTAGTAAATATGTTTACGGCAATAATTTCACATTTTAAAGCAAGAAAAGTCTTTTTGAGAAAATGTTGCTAATTTTACAGACTCGAGCACCATGGTGAAGCTGCAGAACATTTTCCACGAATATGAGCGATCCATCCAAAAAGCCAGGAGTCGACACGGTTCCCTGGCTGACAAGGTGTGTCAGCTGGAGCTGGAGAGAGCTGAGCTGAATATTGTTCTTGACGAAGTTAAGGACGTGAAGTCTGCTTTAGAGCGCAACCAGCTGGAATTACAAACTGAAGTTACAAACCTGAGGTGAAATGTTGCTCTTCTTTTTGGGGAAATATGAAAAATATTTGATATTTCTCTCACTCCCTCTGCATTGTTTTATTGCTTTTATCACAATATTTTAAATGAACCTTCCTAGATTTCAGCTGAAACAGGAGCAGGAGAATCGCCGCAATGCTACCATGATGTACAACAACACCAAAGATAAGCTGAGGAAAATAGAGGACCAGCATCAGTTGGAGGTTCAGGAGAGACAAAAGGTGGAGCTGACCTACAGGAACCTGGAGTTGGAGATGAGGACACTGGTGGCCAACATAAAACAGGTTTGTTTTTTTTCTGTCATTTTTACGTTTTACTCTCTTGATTGTTCCGTCACATCTTTGTTGCCATTACATAATTCTAAGTCATTTGAATAATTGTATGTCTTGCAGAGAAATCTTTCCTTTTCCCATAGTTTTAAGCAGACTATATGAGTATATGTACACAGATGTACAGTAGTTGTTGAATATACTATAACATGTTTGGAGAGTGAGTATTTTATATATTTAATCCACCCAGCTGGAAGAGGACCACAGCGAGACCCAGAGACTGTTGGCTCAGGAGCGTAGTGCGAGGACGCTGCAGGAGAATCTGCTCAACGGTCATCTTCGCAAGCAGCAGGAAATCGAGGAGGAGAACAAGAGAAATGTCTTCAAAAGCAACGAGGTACTCTTTGTGAAACGGGGATTTAGAAAGTTACATAAATGTATTAAGAATGTATGTAGTAAACGATCACTTTTATTGATATAACTGTATCCTGTTTTACACACCAGGCCTTGTCTCAGCTCACTGAGGCCACTGACAGAGAGAGGGAGCTGCTCCGACAAACGGCGACTTTACAGGAACAGCTGACCATCCTCAGGGCCGACCTACAGAGCTCGCAGGCCAACAGCGGTCTCAAGGAAAGCCAGATCTTGGAGGAGAACGAAGCCCTCAAGGAGCAGCTGGAAGATGCTCGGCGGGATCTCAAACTCAACAGCGATGCCTTGACCCAAACCGTCTTCAGTTCTAATAATCAGGTGACGGCCCTGAAGTCCGAGTTGGCAATGATGACGACGCGTCTGGAAAATGAGCGACAGTCTCGTGAGACCTTGGAGGTGGAGGTGGAGTCGACTCGCACCCGTCTGGCTGGGGCAGTGAACGAGGCTGAACGTTGCCTCGCAGCTCAGGCAAGTGCAGAGAAAGCTCTGCTCCGGGAGAAAGAAGACCATCAACGTCTGAAGGACAAGCTCTCAGGTCAGTAGTGGGATAGTTAGTTAATAGTACTGAGGTGAGGTGTGTTTTCAAGTCTGTGGCTGTTGGTTTTCTAGAGTTTTTACAATTCCGTTGTTTGACTATTTCATAATACATTTTTTCACAGGTGAAGCAGCCAGTCAGCGAGAGACAGTTAGCAGCCTGTCCCAGAAGTTGGCCAAGACGGAGGCAAGTGCAAACAGCATGGAGAATGAAGTTCACCGTGTCTCACTGCAGCTGACAGAAAAAGGTCTCCTGCTGGAAGTCCTGCAGCGTGAGAAGGACCAAGCACTTGCACGTGTCAAAGAACTGGAAACGGCTTTAAATGCAGAAAGGGAGCAGGTCAGTCGCGCCAAGGCTCGGCAAGAGGCCTCACAGGAGAGACTGGCCCAGAACCAAAGTGAGGTTATGTTATTACGCCAACAACTGGAGGAGTCTCAGAACAAAGGAGATGCGAAGGAGCGCGCCGTTACAGACGCACAGGAGCGCTTCAGTGACATTCTGTCCAAGCTGAGGTCTGACTCTGAGGAGAGGGTTCAGATGGTGGAGGAGAGGAACAAGGAGCTCTCCAGCAAGGCCGCTGATCTCCGAGATCAGATCTACAAGTTGGAGGAAGAGAGGAATGATAGAGAGGTAAGGTTCGGTCTGAAGTACAGAGACGTTGACGAATCTCTTCTGATTTTTAACCTGTTCTGTCTGTCGGCTTTCTGGATTACGCCTGGGCTCAGACTAACTTGCGGCAGCTGCAGCAGGAACTCGCTGACTCTCTGAAGAAGCTGTCAATGAGCGAAGCCTCTCTGGAGGTCAACACACGCTATCGCAGTGACCTAGAGGAGGAGAAGACTCGCCTTCTCAAAGACATGGACAGGCTTAAAGGAAAGGTAACTACAGGGAGGAATTACAACAACGTGTGTTTGAACAGAAACTAAAACAGAAATTATTCCCAAAACAAAGCTGACTTCAGCAAAGAGAATTTTTGGCGCCGTTTTAAAAGTTGTGTTTCTGTCTGTAGCTGGAGGACAGTGAGGACCAGTACCTGCAGGCAGAGAAACGATTTAATGGTCTGAAGAGCAGTTTGGACGAAAAGGACAAGGAACTTGACACTACCGCTCAGAAACTCCAGGAGGCACTGTCAGCCTCAGCAGCCTCAGGCACCACCATCAAACAACTGGAGGATGCTGTGCAGAAGTATTTACAACAACAACACAGTGACACATCACAGAGCAACAACAACAACTACACAGTGACACATCACAGAGAATTCTATCCACCGGATGTCACAGATACATAGATTTGACATATACAATCACGGTTTTATTATGGTTTTGAACCGGTCATAGACAACGTTGTGATGTAACGTCTCTGTGTGACATCATAACAGGCTGGAGATAGAGAACGCCAGGCTGGAAGCGGCTGCGAAGCAACAATCGAACAAGATTGATGCTCTGCAGAAAGGGGCCCATGAAGCTGCCATGGTGAGTGACCCACCATTTACACGAGAGTCTTGTTATTTTTTCTCTTTACGTGACATTGACAGTATGTTTATATAATTTGTGGTAAAATCACGTCGACTTCAACATTTGTTAAAGCATCCAATCTTTTTCAGCTCTCTGACTTCTCACCTGGAGGAGGGGTTGGTATTGTGAATAGAGCTGTGGTTTCTCTGTTTGGATTGACTTGTGCTTATAGAAACAAAATAACACAATCTGTCAAAATCTGAAGTAAATGGGCTTTGGGATTTATTTATTTTTTTGCATTTGCTGTTCTATCAGGAATACAAACTTGTAGAGAAGTGAAACTGTTTCCTAAACTATTGGTACATTTTGTAAAAATGCAAGTTTCAAATAACCAACACAATTGACCAAAACCTCACATTACTTGTAAACCTTTCTATGTTTTTGAAACAATGTTTAAAATGATGTTTTTTTGCAGAAATGATTGTTGCAGAAATTCAATTTTTTTAAACCAATTTGAAATGTTTGTCCTCTTTACAAACAACAATATTTACTGCATTTTTACAAAGTGTTCCAACTTCTCTTTCAGTACCATCTTTGTCTCGGTGTTGGGTGTGGGTTGTTTCTTGGTGACATCCAAGGTTGGGGGTCTTTACATTCCGTTGTGCGTGTGTGTTTTTTTTCCTTTCACATTAAAGTGTCTCTCAAAGTGTCGCGATACAACTGATAAAAGAGCAACCGCTGTTTTAAATACAAATTGTTGTTTTAATTAAAAGCTGTCCTCTTATTTCTGAAGGTCAGAGGTCATTTGGAAGACTTGGTTACAAACCTGCAGAGCAGTAAGATGACTTTGGAAGACCAGCTCAGTAGAGAGGTCAACATTACTGTTTCCACTTTGAGAGCAGCTTGATTATAAGCAATAATAATTTAAAATGAGAATGTGAATAAATAAAAAAAAAATTAAAATTCATATTCACACCTGGTTTAAGGTCCAGAGGCAGAACGCCTTGTCGCACACGGCTCAAGACTCTCAGGCCTTATGGGAGGATGAGCTGAAGAGTCGGTCGAAGTTAGGTCTCCGTATGGCAGAGCTGGAAAAAGAAAGAGGAGAACTCAACACTCAGGTGATAACATATAGCGGCCTAAGTATGATATAGACTGTTTATAAAGTTGAACTATTATGGGATACATTTCACTTTTTTTGTTGTTTTTGTGGTGTGAAACTGCAGGTGGAAATCGAGAAAAAGAAATTCAAAAAAATGGCCGAGCAGAAGAAGGCAGTTGACACTCGTCTGGATCAAGAGATGAACAGAAACACAGAACTCCAGAAGGAAATGTACCGGTGAGTCCAGCACCACCTGCTCAAGCTCCTTCTCCTCCTTCTCCTCCTCCTTAGTGCATTGCCTTGTCTTATCTTTAGGAGAAAGAAACACGGTATTGATTGTCATCTTTTATTTTTCTTTGTGCTTGTGTGTGACGTTGAACATTTACGTCGAAGGCTGCGTACTCTGTTGAAGACTGCAAAGAAGAAACTGCGGGATCAGAACTCTGCCGGAGGTTCTCCTATGAGTACTATGCAGATGGACTTTGGCAGAAACAGTCAGGCTGATGGAGGCCTTGGGCGGATGAGAGAAAAGGTCTGCAAAGCATTGTGATTCCAGTATGCACGCCCATCACTGCGTGACTTACAGAGAGTCACAAACGTTGTCTATGGAATTTTATTTTTCATGTCAGCTGTTGGTCTTCGCTCTGAAACTGTCTTCTGTCTCAGCTGGACTTCATGTCAGCTGTTGGTCTTCGCTCTGTCTTCTGTCTCAGCTGGATGATCTTCAGATGCAGCTGCAGAGGGAAGTGTCTCGCTGCGGCCAGCTCGAGCAGACGAACAGAGAGCTCAAAGATCAGCTGGCCCAAAAGAGCTACAGCCACAGTAGCGACCAGCTGGAGAGAAGTAAGAGGCAGCTGGAGGAGGAGGTGTCGGACCTGAGGCGCAGGATGGAGACTGCTCAGATGGAGCAGGGACAGGCTGAGCAGTTTCGCCGTGATGTGGAGGAGAAGGCCCGTCAGGAGATTCAAAGGAAACTGGACCAGGTCAACCTGTTCTTACAGGTACAGAGGAATAACACATTGTGGAGAAGGTGCAGTGGTTTGAATTCGGGCTGCACTGTCACAAATACCAGTATCCGTATCAGGTCCGATACTTCATTCAAATACTCGTTCCTTAAATGTATTTGTGATCCAATGACCTGATTTTCAGGTTTTCTGCACAACCAGCTGTATAACGAAACTAAGGCTATATCTACGTGATGTCAGTGTTTTGTTCAAAACAGAATGTTTTTTTTTTTTCTTTTGGACTCTAAACATTTTTGTCAAACTCTCCTACTGATATTGGTTTGTACAAATTAGTATCCTTTTCGTTGTATACCTCTCAGTCCCAGGCTGCTTCCCAGGAGGCACTGGATCAGATCCGAGCCGCCAATGAGTCCAACGTACGCTCTCAGCTGGAGCAGAAGATCCGGGAGCTGGAGGCAGCACTTCTTCAGACCCGCACAACCCAGCAAGAAAGCCTCATACAAAGAGACTCCACTCGCACCGAACTGGATCGATACAGAGAGCTGTACTCCGAGGAGCTGCGTCTGCGCAAGTCTTTGTCGGCCAAACTGGACAGGTGAGAGGAGCTGCTCGGTGTCATCGACCTGAGTGAATTATCGCCCAGATGTCAGTCACTGATATTTTTGTCATCGACCTGAGTGAATTATCGCCCGGATGTCAGTCACTGATTTTTATTTTTATTTTTTTTTTGGGCAGGTCCAACACTCGTCTTGCAGAAGCTAATTCTAAGTTGCTCAACGAGCGCAGCAGGTCTTTTATCACAAGCAGTATTGCAAATGGTAGCCTGGTGAACCCCTCGCTGGACGTGGGCGCTCTGGTTTCACCAGGAGTCACACTCAACCGGAGCCTGGGTCTGGGTGTTCTCAGCCCTGGGTCTGAGGGACAGAACAGCAGAGTGGAGGACTATCTGGCAAAGGTCAGTACACGAACACAGCTCATCACCGAAACTGGAGAATGATATTTTTTTAGCTCACCTTCATTCCTGCGGTTCATTGATTTAATTGTCGTCAGTGTGGTATTTTGTTGATACATTCAACTTAAACGAGTTCCATCGTTATTTTTTCTGTCCGTTGTTAATGACGGGGCGTCTATCGTGTCTTCTGTTTCTCACTCCTTTAGCTTCTAGCTCAAAAGTCTCTCTGTCATCTGTCCTCTCTTCAGCCTCATTCTTAACCAGGTGTGTAGATGTGTTGAGCTCAGTGTGTACCTGGCTGCTGATGGATCTGCATTCACTTTGCATGCACTACAGATTTAAACTGATTTTTTTTTTTATATACATCCATAATATTTTTTTGGCCTATTCTGATTGATTGATTCCTAATCAAATGTTATTTTATACTTGTCTTCAATCTGTGACAGTTTTGGGGGGATGAATATTTTCCGAATATTGACAACAAATGACATTTATTGTTAACGTTATCACTTATTTTATCTGTTTTGTTATTTTTTTATTTATTTATTTTTTGTTATTTTGAAAATCAAGCCTGCAGATTCAAGTAACCGTTTAGAAAAGAATAAATGAATCACATCTGTGTTAAAATAGTCCACGATTTTCCAGAAAAGAATAAATGAATCACATCTGTGTTCTTCAATCAGCTTCTTCAAAATTCACGATTTTGCATTGCAGATCAGGTGAAAAGATAAAAAAGGATTTTCTTTTAAATTCCTGTTTATTAAAATATGGATTTTGCGACATTCCAAGATTACATTTAGTGTGAAAAGACCCTTAGGGTTTCTCCGTCTCTCACTTCTTTCTCCACCGATTGATCAGTAGTACAACGCAGCTTTTTTTTACATCTGTCATGTATGATTTTGCACGTCGGTTATTAGATATGACGCTCCAAAATGGGTGATTCCTTAACATATTCACTAAAAAGCATTCATCTCACACCTTGTTAAAATATTTATAGAGACACACTGTGTGGCTTTGATGACCTCTAATTAAAAAGAAACATCAAAAAGGCAGCAGTGACTACACTGAGGCAGAGTAGCTCGGCATGTCCTGCTGTGTTTCTCATTCTCATGGTCATATTTTCCTCGCAGAGTGGTGTTTGTTTGTGTTGCTGAAACACGGCACGTACGTCTGTCATGTGTAAATAATTGCTTTTTGCAAAAGGTCTCGTTTGAATCACCTGATCTTTATATATTCTTTTACAGATGCAGAGTGAGCTGGATAAAAACATATCGAAAGAGTTGAACACCGGTGAGTTGATTAATTCAAAAAAAATTTCATATGCCTGGGTATGTATCTCACTCTCTCTCTCTCTCCCTCTCTCTCTCTCTGGTGCTCAGCCACAGCAGAGCTGGACATTGCCACCATGCGTTTGTCACCTGTTGGCTCGGCCTCCAGGGTGGACCTGGACCCCGTCAGTAGGGCCACGCAGCAGTACTTGGAAGTTCTGAAGAGGAACAATATGATCTGACTCATTTCTCTACTTGTACCGTTCCAGCTCCGCGTTTCAAGGCCAGTTCCACAGCTCTGGTAATGGTACCGCCAGGACCTCACTCTGTACAGACGTTTTGTTTTCTGTCGTACGTGGTTAAAAACAAAGAAATGCACTTTGCACTTAATCCCACCTTAACCCACTCAGGAACAAAGGGCAAGAGTCTCGTAATATTTTTCAATGTCAAAGGGTACGACGAGTGAAAACGTTTGGAAGTATTTCTTCCTCTAAATTAACATTTTCCCAGCAGAAAATATAGTGTATATACAGAGTTAGACTTTGTGAATTTTGGTGTTCCTAAATTTATACATATTTGACACTTTTATAAAAAAAAATTAAAAAAAAGACTTTGGCCAAGATTTCAACTTTACCACCATTTCTGCCATTAATGGTGCATTTTTTTGTTTTGGTTTTTTTTTGTCTTGGTTCTGAATTAGATGTATTTGCATATGGTGTCAATGACAAATGTATTTATTATGTCTTCTTGGTTTATTTACATATATATTTAAAAGAGACGAGCTGGATTTCTCTCTAGCGACTTCTGATGAGTGACGACTTTTGTACGACCCACTCTGACAGCGGTTTCGGCCTACATTAGGAGCCTCCATATGTAAGACATGCTCATTTCATATTGTATATTCTGTTCTTGACTCGACTCCATGACACCTGTGAACTGCAGAAGAACTCTAAAACAACAATCATTAAAGAAGGAAATCAACCTGACACTGATGAACGGCTTCATTACCAACCTTTTCTTCTTCTTCTCTGGCCTTGTTTTTACGGCACTAAGCAGGAAGGTTGTTCCAAACATTTCAGGGAACTAGGCACAGGTGTTCTGTGTGATAAAGACTGATTCAGAACTCAGCCTTGACACATGAAGGAAAGTAAGTACCAACTGTTTTGATCTGTTCATCCATTTATGATTATAACATTGTTTTTGTTCCTAAACATATTTAGGAGAGTAGGGATACACAGTGGTAGAGCAGTCGGTGATCTTGCCTTACAGTAAGAAGGTCAACAGTTTGATATCCAGTGGTAACTGATGGTCTTTTCCATATGACATTTTCATGTTCTCCAACTGTACTCTCCAACTTCCTCCCACAGTGCAAATATACTCTCTTACCAGGAGCCGGAAAAGTATCATTGGAAAAACATCATACAGGATGTACAGCAGTACTAAAGTATTTTAGTTTTTCAGATTCCTTTGTCTCTGGTTTTCAAGATAAAACGCCGCTTTAACCCAGTCCTCATTAGCAGTGTTTTGATGTACAACAGCCACCACACACTTCCAAACACATTAAAACTTTAACATGTGCATTGCTTTAGAAATGCTTTCCCTCACTTATTAAAATGAAACGGTGTGTTTTTTTTTTTTTATTATTATTATTTGCCCCTCTCTGCTGTGTCTCTCCTCCCTTTGATCCATCCTCCCTACATCAGCCTCCACCGTGAGATATTCAAATCTGGTTACATTGTGAGTTTGTTTCCTTTACGGCACACGGGCACGTCTGACAGGCTGACAATTATGCATTATTATTATTTTCACTTTCTTCATTTGACGCTTCTTCATAAGCTGCACGCGAGCCTTGTTTTGATTGAAGAGGTTACAAACGGTGTCGGGAAGCGTGAGAGGAAGGAGAGAAACAAGTCGACAGATGCTGAAGTGAAGTGTGTTGACAGGTTTGTTTTTGAAAAGATGCTTTGGCTTTAGAACCTTTTGTTGGATTGTCCTCTATCTTTGGATCAGTCTGAGTTGATTCAGTATAAAACAAAGTGCAGCGTTTCATCTTGTGCCTCAACCTTTATATAGAGAGATATTAATGTAATAGTTTAATTTATTATACATTATCTCCAAGCACAAACTAATCTGAGTCATAATGTTTTAGATAATATTCATTAGTCCGGTGTGTGGGACTGTGAGGCAAGAATTATTAGGTAGTTTAAAAAATAAAAAAATGATTTTTTTTTCTTTAAACATCTTTTAAAAACCCTTTTTAAAAGGTATATTTTGGTTAATTGACTCTTTAAAAAACTTAATTCTTATACATTTTTATTGTTTCTTTTTTATTTGAATTTTTTTTTTTTTTTTTTCAGAATAAAAATCTACAATAAATCCTGTTTGGCTGAAGTGGTCCATTTCATGTGGACTAGTGTCAGCAGGCAGTGGTTGGTTTGGGTGGATGTTAACTGAAGGGAAACAGTTCAATCAAAACATTTCTTATGCTTTAAAATAAAAAAAAATGTAATCTAAATGTGTTTTGTGGAAAAAAAATAACATTAAGATTGACAACATTTTCTTATTCCACCACTTTGTTTTATTTTTGGCTGTTTATGCTGCTTCCCTGCTGTCACCCCACTCCATGACTTCAAAGAAGAATAACTTTTAATCAGTCAGATCATAAAAAGGCGTCGTCCTTTAATGTTCTAAGTGTTTTGTATGACAATATGAAAGAGGTTGCGAAAGAGCGCTGACAAGTTTCTCTGTCAACCTGTTCGTCAGCTGGAGAGAAGACATGCAGGGAAAACAAACGTGTGTGTGTAAAGTGGTAGACTCCTCTGGTGCTGGGGCTTTCTGGGTAAAAGTCACGCATTACGTTGTTTTGTACAAACAAATGGATCTACTGTGAAACAAAGCTGTAGATGTTCTGCCGTTACTGCCGTGAACTCTCTGTGCTCTTTCTGCTAATAACTGCTATTCTAAAATAAACAGGACATTCATTTCCGGTGAATGCTACCTGAGGTCTGTAGGTCAGTGGTTTCCAACGTGCCCTGAGAGGTAAGCTGTGCAGTGGGAAATGATTCACTTACCATTAATTGGTCTGAAAAAAAGTATTCTGCATTTGCTACAAATATTTTGTCTATGTGACAGTGAGCGGCAGAGCAGCTCTTCCTGTGGCGGCAGATGGCTATAAAAACAACACCGTTGAAGGAGCGCCCCCTGTACATCTTTCTTCAATTGCTGCAAGTATACAGTATCAGTGTATGTGTTCAACTCAATGGGCTCCGACTTCGTCCTGTGTACATTTTGAGTATGTTTAATCTGGATGACCATTATATTGACATCATGATGACATCATTATATACACCCTTTGGGATATTTTTGTTTAGAGGTGCATCATGGGATTTTTTTCTGTCAAATTTAATATAAATTTTTAAAATGAAAAATATGTGCCATGGCTCCAAAAAGTAGTAGATTACAGGTTACACCCCGGTCAAGTCATCAATGGGCCAGGTTTGGTAGGAAACAACCATTATTGATTTAAAACATCATAATTTATGCCTTCAAGTAGTGTTGACTAAGTGTAGTCTGTTTATTCCCACTCGTAAGGAGTGACCCAGAAGGCCTCGTCAGTTACGTTTCTGCATTTAGCAGACGCTTTTATCCAAAGGTACTTACAAAGAGGGGGATTAACAAACTCTATATATATATTGTGCTGAAACAAAGCAGGTTTCCACCTCCTGACTCATGGACAGGATGTTGTTTTCATCTGGGGAAAGTTTTTGGCCTTGAGGAGCCAGGGATTAACAAATGTGTTGTTGTGTGAATCAGGGAAAAAAAAGTGTAGGTAAATCAAAGATATGGTCTCTAGCCCCCTCCTCTATTAACTATACGTTCCAAGAATAACTTGAAATATTTAATAATGTGGAAAACTCTGCAGGTATGTTTTTTTTTTTTTTCCTCCAAAACACCGAAATCTGCGTTTTTTTTTTTTTTCCTCCAAAACACCAAAGTAGCTTGAATGAACCGTCCATTGTCCTCCGTTCCTCAGGTCCATCTGACTCTTAGCTGCGGTGGCATATGTCACAGCAGTCCAGACAGAACTCCAGGCATTCCGTCGGTTCACAGCAGGAGTCGAACAGGACTGAGTGGCAGTGGGCGTGGCAGTTTATCTCCTCCACGGGTGTCTCCTGGATGGCAGCGCAGCAGCGGGAGCAGGCGCGGCAGCAGGAAGAGCAGAAGGTGTGGAGGCAGGAAGAGCAGGAGTCCAGCAGGCCGGTGAGAATGACAGAACACTGACACGACAGGCAGGCCAGCAGCAAGTGGAAGCACGAGTCTGAGAGATAGGACAGACGTGATGGAGGTCAGTGAGGTCGTGACCCCTGCAACACTGACACGAGCTAAAAACAACCCTTCTGTTCAGAAGCCAGTAGCACACAGGTGGATGGGTTGAGTCTAATTGGACAAACAGACTGCAGTACATTAAAATAACTAAGTATTTTAATGTACTGCAGCTGGGGGGCTAAACCTTAGCAAAGTCAAAAGAGACAAATTTCAGCTTTGTTTTACCATCTTGACTTCATTTTTTTTTTTTTTTTTAATCTTGCGAATCCATACAAAACAACCATAATCCTTGACTAAAATTACAATCAGTGCATTTTTCCCCCCCTGGTGGACAAATAAACATTCTGAAATTGACAGAATATGCTTTTCTCTGCATTCCAACACTGAAAGAGCCAAACAAATACTGCGTATTTAAGGCTGGTAAAATGAATGAATTGGATAATCGACAATAAATCAACGTATCGTCGGAGGCCCCGCTGCGGTTTGCTCTAGAAAACCCCCTTCAGACACTCTCAGATTATAGGATAACTGCTCTATTAACCCTGAATTAGTCTCCCTCGAACGTGCATGCTCCAACTGCAAGTTAAAAGGGAAACCACTGTGCTGTAGTCATCAACTCTGATTGTGTTTACTTAATCAAAGTGATTTGTTCCGCCCTCCAGGGAGACTGAAGGAGGCCACGGAGGCGCCCCGCTTATGAACAACAGCTAGGAGAGGCGCTGTCAGAAGATAATTGCTCATCCACTCAAATTAGGTCCAAATGAAATAGCAAACATTGACCTAACTGCTGCGCTACGCTGCGTCTCCCAGCACTCCAACCATTGTTTTTATTACACCACTGCTGTTTTAATCCTCCCCACAACCCGAGGAGTCTGGGAGCTCGTGCAAATCAATCAGTTTGATTCTGTTTACCTAACGAATAAATGAAAAGAAGACGGTAAAGATCCCCGGGGAGTGGGGTCCAGCGTAGCCACTGGAATTATCCAACCCCCCACATATCACTTATGCTAATATCTGTGTTTAAGACGTCGCTGCATTCATTTAATGCATAACTCCAACATAAATGATAATGATCAACTCAGAGTGGGAGAACAGAGGCTTTGATACCAGTGAGAGGAGAACAGTCGGTCTGAGAAACAAATCATTTTTAAATGAAAAAAAAAAACAATAGATTTATTTAGAGATTTATTTAGATATAAGAACTAAGGATCTTTTTCAAGCTGGGTTTCCTTCAGTTGAGTTGAAGTAACGATGATCCTCTATTTTTGTTTAATTTGCTGAAACCTACATTGTTGAGTTTGGCGTACTACGGTTTCCTGCAGGTGGTGCTGTAAATGTTGTTATTTCCCAAGCTTATCTTTTTTCACGATGATAAGGCTATAGTGAGTCATGGTTTAGAAAAAAATTTTAAATACTTTTTGGACTTTTAAACATAAAATATCCACCTGGCAGCATGTTTTAGAACATAATCTTGCATTTTAGTGCATTTCGGGGACTTTTAATTTTTATGGATTTTTTCAGGATGGTAAGGCTTTAGTAAGGCATGTTTTGGGTGATTTTTGAAATATTCATATAAAATTCTTTTTGGACATTTAAACACAAAATAATCGCTTGGCAGCATGTTTTAGGACATAATCTTGTATTTTAAGACATTTCGGGGACTTTTCGGAGATTTTTGAAATATTCATATAAAATACTTTTTGGATTTTTAAACATAAAATATCCACCTGGCAGCATGTTTTAGGACCTAATCGTGCATTTTAAGGCATTTCGGGGACTTTCTATTTTTATGGATTTTTTCAGGATGGTAAGGCTTTAGTAAGGCATGTTTTGGGTCATTTTTGAAATATTCATATAAAATAACCCCTGACTTTTTTTTTCAACCTGGACCATGCTGAAACAAGTCTAAGAAAAGTTGTGTTTAAAAAAAAGCTACAAAAAGTTTATCGTTAACTAACTTATGATAATGAACCTGTGTTAATTACTCTGTGTTTAACTCATTCAAATGACTGTTCTTACCACCTGGTGTGGCTGCAGGCTTGTAATAGTTTGTGCTCTTATTCTTTTTCTTCTTCTTCTTCTTCTTGCTGCTGCTGCTGTCCACTGACAAACTGGATCCCTGCAGATCTGGAACTGTGAGACCACATCGGGGACATGCTGGACATGTCTGTCGTCCTGGTCCCTCCTGTGAGGTAGGCTGAGGCTGGGCTGAACGCACAGATACATAAACGAACGTTGTCGTCAGTCAAATCGATTCATTTACTTCTTCTTCGAGTTTTGATGGTGAACCAGTGGGCGACCATTTCAGGAGGACAAAAACACAAAATGAGCTATTAATTCATATTTGATCATATTCACAATGACGCACGGGTGTCTCCTCCACTTCACTGTACGTTACACCGTCACCTTCACTTCAACTTCACACTGCCAGGATCCACAACAACATCGTTCTGTTCACCGTATTGTTTCCCCACTTACTGTTGATGAGCTCAGTAGGAATGGCATTTCCTTTACTAACAGGGTCACATGCTGGATGGACTTCCTGTGGCGACTTGACACGTGTACTGCTGTGTGCTGATGACTCACGTTTAGCTGAAACATACATTTAAAAAAAAAAAAATTAAAAATATATACTATATGTATGCTTTAAGCGTTAAATCAAATGGTAAAATGATGGCGATTACCTTCAGTCTTGTTACTTTGGTTTTTCTTCTCATCCACAGGTAGATGTTCTCTGGGAAACATGTCTGATTCTCATGGCTGCTCAGGAGCTCTAGTCCTGCGTCTTCATCCGCTCACCTCCTCCATCCTCCTCCTTCTGTCCACACAGGGGTCGGGAAACCTCCAGCAACACCCCGCATGCCGCCCTGAGTCACCACTCAGAAGACTCTGAGCTGTGAGTACATATGTGGGCGTGTGGGTGTGGGTGGGTGTGTGTGTTTTGTTGTACGGGACAACACTCCACTTCCTGGCAGATGTGTTGTGTTTGTCACTCTGAACACGAGTGACGATCACCTCCTCTGGTCTGCTTTTGGTTCTCTAACACAATGGAGACACATACCTCACCAGAGTGCCAGCTCGATATATGCTACTGTCCGCTCCTCTTCAGCCGACAAACACATACACAGTCGGACCAATCTGCCGACCTCATCAGAACAGCTGGTCATGTGTCATCATGTGACTTCAAATCGACCTCATTGAATATAGTATTAACACCAAAAAGTATTATCAAAAAAGTTAAGAGGAAACATACAAACAGTATACAAAAAGTATTATCAAAAAAGTTAAGAGTATACTTGACAATATACTTGACATGTTTTGGTACAATTGCCTACTATTTAAATTGTTAAAAATATTTTTTGTATTATTTAAATGACAACTTGGATTTAAAAATAATTAGAATAGCAAATTAATTTCCCTAAAAATAAATATAATTTTATTTAAGCGGGTTTTTGCTTCTTTAAAGACCAAAAGAAAATACATTTCTTCTTTAAGTAAGACTTATTTAATAATATTTCACATTCTGACCTTATTGTACATTTGTTCTGTTAATGTTACTGCTATTATTATTATTATTATTATTTATGTATTTATTTATTTTGTGAAGATGTGCTGTAATTTAATTTATGGAAACAAATTATGAAATATTTAATAGTTACTTTTTAATTTGTAATTTTTTTTTAATATGGCTACCAAATAATAATAATGAATTATACTTTTTTACTTTTTATGATTTTTAAAATTGACCTTTTAAATGATCATTCCTTAATAATTGATTGCATTTTATATCCGTATGACTTTTGATAGTAATAATAATAATTATAAAATTCATAATTTCATAGTCACTCCAGTGAATAATGTATACATCTTTTACTGCGGTTCTTCTATAATTAATTTGTTTGTACAGAGATTGTTTGATTTTGTCGGAGCTCAGGAGTTTTTTGGTGTTCTCGGTGACAGCATCACCGTGACAGGGCTGTTGTGACAGTGAACCAGACCAGCCCTGTAGGAGGGGCTGTTGACTAAATACTGTCAAAAGTACTACGTTGAAGGAAAAAAAAAAAAAACCCATGTTGACTCAGGAGCCTCACAGTGAGTGGATGGCACATCAAAGCAACACATAAGTGAAGGCACTGAAGTTGTGCAGCACCGAGCTAACTTTCAGTCAGTGAATACCGTGTGTGAAGACAGTGAGAGGGAAATGTCATCCAATGGGCTGACAGGGAATCAAAGAAGAGACCTTAAACAAACTCATTATCATTCAGTGAAGACAATTACTGACATTAGTCAGAACACAGGAGCTCAACCACTCAGGTGTGTGTGTGTGTGTGTGTGTTGTGAAAACGACAGCAGCAGCTTCAGTGAGTCACATATCTATTCAGGGTTTTGTTTTGTTTTTTTTAATATATTTTTTAACAGTCAACAATATTAACAGTTAGTAAGTTAATATTGTGGATGTGACAAAAATACAACAATATAAAAAACAGATTTCTTTAACAACGTAATGAACTACGTCAAGTCATTACTGCGGATGAAAACACACATTTTCACACTAAATGTTAGATTCTTTAGTTAAGAAAAAAAAACGTTTATTAATCACATATCAATCACATGACACCTCCGTACAACAACCTCCGTTTTCTGTGTAAACTCCAAATCTGTTTTTGTCATAGTTTAACATCCAAACTCATAAAACAAAATATTTTATATTTTTGAAAATTCTGTTTAATTAAAGACGCTGTTTAAATGACGACTACAAAACAGTGAGTCAAAATGTACAACGACAGACAGACAAACGTGTTCAAATCACCACAGAAATATTACAAAACCAAACCAAACCACACCAGGGTTTCATATTCTGTAGTCCAGAATGACTTATCTTTCTCTTTTTTTTTTTAATAAAAAATGGATCCAAGGATATTTCAGGGTTTTTTTTTTTTCAAAAAATCTTATAGTTTAATTAAACATTTCACAATATTTTAAAAATATATTGTAATTATTAAAAACACAAACATAAAAACCCCCCTTGGTATTTCTTTCTTACTCATTCACCTTGGAACAACCGCTCGTCTCCATGTTCGGTCAGGTCACTCTCAGCCCTTTCTTACTCATTCACCTTGGAACAACTGCCCGTCTCCATCTCACTCTCAGCTGAGTCGGACTCATCGCTTGATCACTGGGCAGAAAAGACCCGGCACGTGCTGGGGAACAGAGACGTTCTAAAATCACCACTCGGACGTTTTGTCAACATTCAATAACACGGGACATAACCCTGACTCACCACTGGACTCTGTGGCCTCTACTCACACCGCTGTCCTTTGTCTTGTGCTGTCTTCACAGAGAATCACAGTGATCAGGGACAGATACCGGACTGACTCCTGAGGCTACGGTCAAACACACGTTCTTACCTGAACAGCAGCGTGTGGAGACACGTTCTTCATCAGAGGATGACTCCTGTTGAAAAGGTGAGAGGGAGAAAGATGAACATCTGGAACTCAAGGACTTGGTTGTGATGTTGTTGCTCACAGGAAATATGATCAGTGCTAAGGGACTGGCTAAGGGACTAGCTTCCTACGCAGTAGGTCCTTGGTTCAAATCCACCTAGCATCTCTTTCCCAAAATTGGTAGAATATTTTTGTCTGGTCTGGAGCTGTGTACCGCCATACTACTACTAATACTACTACTAATACTACTACTCGTAATGCTACTAAATCTGTATTTATTTTTGATGACCCGTCAGCAGAGAAACATTCTTTTTTGAACATCAACTATTTTGTTTTTATACAATAGAAATTCATAATTTCTGGAAACATTTTCTATCTATATACTATTATCTGGTAAGATTGTGGTTTTTTGGGGTTTTTTTGTTTTTGTTTTGCTTTCTTACTTTTTTCAGAATATTGTTTTATATATAATCCAATATTCTAGTCTTTTTTTATCATATTTTTGCGGTTTTTAATCCTTTTTCCTTGGCCAATCTTTATCTGATTTTGACTAACTAACGAACACATTTCTTGACTTATAATACATTAGAACAGTGGTTCTCAAACTGTGGTACGCATACCACCAGAGGTACGCGAGCGCTCTCTAGGAATATTCATATTTTCACATTTACATTTTCAATTGAATACATCTGGAACACACCAGGCACAATTCATACAACAAACTGTGTTGTCTGGATAATGACGCGACCGAAAACCAAAACGACGTGATTTGTAAGAGACATTCACGGTCGCTGCGGTCTGATCATCTTTACCCCGTGATCTTCTGGGATCTCCTCTTCTGATACTCCCCCTCGTCCACCCTCCACACGGCTCCTTTCACATTCTCCACCCGCACAAAGCACTTGTGGAGGCTCAGGTTGTGTCGCACCGCGTTCTGATCCGGAAAGAATCAGAGGGTGAAAAGGTGCCGCGTAAATTCAGTTCAATTACCCTCTGAAACCTCACCTTCCACGTGGCAGCGTTGCGTCTGAAGTAGGCGAACGATCGCGTGAACCAGTTGTAAATCTCATTCAGCGTTAGCTGCATGTCTGACGACTCCATGATCGCCTGAGACGGGGGGGAGAAAAAAAAAAAACGAACATCATCAAACATTTGAAATAAAAGGGTTCAGTTATGCAGCAGGCGGAGGCCGCGCTGTACCTGTCTGATCAGTGTCGCGTAGGTGAAAGGTGGCCTGACGTCAGTGTTCTTGTACAGCTCATATTCACTTTCTGAAAGATGGCACATACAGTTTAGTAACTCGTCTAACGGGTCTAACGATTGTGTTTAAAGTTATCAAAGCACAGACCCGAGGGCTGTGAATGGACCGCAGGCTGTTGACATTCAGTCAGAGCGGCTGAATCTTCGTCTGCTGCCTGGCACACGGCGATGACCGGGGCCGGAGGTTTGAAGTGATGTGTTCTAGTCAAGTCTGGTGGATTCAGGTCACTGATGGCACCTGACGGGAGCTGAGCGAGCGAGACGAGGAGTGATGGGAGTTAACAGAGAGCGGCAGAGAAACCCAAACCAGACGACAGGGCTCTCAGTGTAACAGAGCGATTCGATTCGCCTCCTCGCTGCTGATTCCACCAACACCACAGCAGGACGGAGGAAAATGATTGTTAATTAGAGGGTGAAATTGTTTGGCGACTGTTGTGATTATGGTGCAGTATTTGCAAGATTAACAAATGATTAGCTCCAACGTTATCATGTGGAGAACAACGGCAGTCCCTGGGTGATGTCAGCAGCAGGAGGATTGAAAGGTCACGGCAGGCGAGAGCCGGACAATTTGGAAGGAAAAAAGTCCAGCAAAACTTTTTTCTTTTCCTCCCGCGTTTGCCGAGGTCAGAGCAGGTTCAAACTATTCCTCAGCTTTAGTTCATGCGTCAACAAATCACAATCACATTTGACAACAGGTTTTTTCCACGTTATTAAACTTGAAAAGTGAAGATTTTACAGCAGAGTCGATCTCAGACACAGCAGTTTTCACAAAAAAAAAACGCAGCCACGCTTCACGGACCATTTCCTCTGTTTTTGTTCTTCAGTCGGCCGTCACTGCACACAACCTACCTCAGGACTGTGGGGGTCAGCGGCCGGGTCAGACTGAGGCGACCGTCGCCTCTCAGAAGCAGGGAGCCACTGTACCGCCGCAGATGGCAGATGCAGGTGAGTCATCATCGCCTGCAAACGCTGGCGTTCTTTGCAGAGCTGTCGGAGAAGAAGGAGAATTTGATTTTCAAAAGAACACTTTGTTTACGAAGTGGTTTAGGGTAACGTACCTGATACTCCAGCTGCTGAAACACCTGGACCTGGACCCTGCACTGGGCTGTGCTTTTGTCGTCCAGACGGTGGTCGTTGCTTATGTGTCTAAATAACATACAAAAGAATAAAATGAGAATCAAATCACTCAAATGTTTTCACCTCGATACTACAGGAAAAAACAGTCAACAATGCCCCTAAAAACCCGCCCCCCACTTTGGGAACCACTGCATCAGATTTTCAGTGTTTGGTAAATGTGAACCAGTAATATTTAATATCAAATAAATAATCTGATAAAACCTGAGATGCTGATTCGTTTCCGTTGAGAGTGTGAAATCTAAACACATTTACAGTGAATGATGTTGGTGCTGAAAACCTACTTGACAAACTGTTTCACGTTCTCGCAGACGGACTCACATCCAGGCCAGTTACAGACCCCGCGGTTATAGAGGACGCCTGAGGACACAGCCTCAGCACTAGGAGAAGAAAAACAAGAGACAAAAAAAACACAGGTTTGGTTGGGATTTAAAAACTGTTTGGAGTTGAACTGTTCTGTCATACTTTTCCCCACGCTCTAAAAACAGGGATGAGTCTCCTGGTTTGAAGCCGACAGATCTTACCAGTTTGTCCACGCGGTAGAGGACGTCTGCTGGTCACCGCTGTGTCTCCAGGCGTCTTGTGAGGACACACTGTCAGCTGAAGAGTGTGAAGTCTTCTCCTCGTTGATTTCATTCGTCAGCTCTCTCAGGATTCTCTGTATTTCTGCAGAGCTGAAGCCGACTGACAAAGATCGAGACAGAGGTGCGTTATTGGATCTGTCGGAGGAAAAGCACCACTGTGACGAGGACTGACCTGGAGGGAGGACAGAGGAGGAGAGGACTGGTCTCTGGATCTGCAGCAGCTGCTGCTGCTGCAACTGAAGGAGGTGCTGGAACATGAGGTGCTGAGGAGAGAGCTGGAGAGAGAGGAAAAAACACATGCTGGTAGGTCATTTATTCTTCAGCTTGGTTTTCAGTCTTTGTGGTGATAGTTTTTTTTGGGGGGCCAATAATTCTGTGAACAACAACAACTTTATCTCTTCTGAACTTCCTGGTGCCTGGTGTTCAGTTCTCTCCACTTTTCTTTTTTTTTTCCTACAGTTTCTTCCCAGGTCAATGAGGTGAGACGTTCAAATAACTTTCTACTTCTTTCCTTCCCCTTTGAGTGCAGTTCAGATCTGATTTTTTTTTTTATTTGCGTCTACCGTACTCACCTCCTTGGTCTTTTTGCTGGACTGATGTTGAAGCATTCGCAGGTGAATCTGTTGTTGATGCCTCTTGTGGAAGTCTCTCAGTTGTTGCTAAAAAAATGTTTAGACAGTTTACAACTACAGTGGTCATGGATTAACACGTGTACAGACTAATGTGATATTTGGAGTTAAACCGAATGTCAAACAATTAGATGTCAAGTGGGCTGGACCAGTACGATCAAAACAGTGTTATCTATAAATAGCAATAAGTCCATGTTTTTCTGCTTTTTTTCATGTAAACAAGTATATTTATATTTATTTTTTTTTTTAAATCCTGAAAATAAAGTTTTTTGCATTTTTTTTTTCAAAATTCATCAAAAAAGCAAACCAGATTGTAAACCCTACCAGGCCGGTTTTGGCCCACGAGCTGTATGTTTGACACCCCAGAGTTAGATGTTTGTAAAACAATAGTTTAGCAGTACATTATCTAAATGGGTTTTTTAAATATACATTAGCACCATCTGCAGGCCAGGAAGCAGTTACAGGCAGCTACAGTGTTGATAAACAGAATACTATAACGATCAAAACTAAAAGAGAAGTTTAGTAGGTTTTTTTTAAAGAACTGCTTACCTGACTTTTACTTATTTATTCTTTCTTTTTTTTCTTTTTTTCTTTAGTCTACCTGCTGAAGAAGAAGACTCTGCTGCTTCTGCTGGATCAGATCCTGAAGTTGACTTGGAGACAGAAGCTGCTGTTTCTGCTGCAGGGACATCCTGGCCGCAGACAGCTACAGCAGGAGAGACGGAGTGAAGGTGAGAGGACGCCTGAGCCAGACAAAGGGCAGGTGTCAAGTGTTCAACAGTAATGTCCATCAGACGCAAATCTTTCCAATCCAATTAGAAAACAGTGCCGTCGACTGTTTAGGAACATCGTGATGCTGGATTGTGTCATTGACCCTAAATGAGATGGAGATGGACTGAGCAGTTAATTAGCAGCACAATTACATGCTTGTTGTGACCGGTAATAGAAGTGTACGGATATTAATAAAGGCAAACTCTCACAGAATAATAACTGCTCTGCACTGGTACCGATTGTCTGACATCACGTCACGATGATCGCCTGCGTCTGCCTTTGTGGACAAACAGACGCAGCAGCAATTTGTTTTTTTTTACAAGAGATCCCTAGAAAAGATTTAATAATTCTGAAAAAAAAAAAATTCAAAATAGTTTTGAATTTAACAAAAACATTGCATTATTATGGTATTATTTATATGATTTGTTAATATATATTTTTCAGGTAAATACAATAATAATATTATTTATATGATTTGTTAATATATATCTTTCAGATAAATACAATAATAATAAGTTATATTTCCTCACTTAAAGTTGTAGAATAATATTATAGTGAATCAGAATTTAAATACTAATGTGAGAAATCTAATATATATATATGGACTGCACACAAAAACTAAACTCAAATCTCCACATTAACTCGCCTGATTTTACCTTAAAATGTAAAGGAGGGATTTTGTTTTTTAAATCACACATCACTTAAGTATTTCACATTATCTTTTTTTTCCCACCAGGTTTTAGACATTGAACACACAAAATATGTCTGAAGCACAGTTGGACCATCAAGCTGAATTCCCGCTAAAAAATTCTGCTAATTTATTTTAACAGGAATATTGTATGGAAATAACTGCAATCACACAAATTATTGAAATTTAAAATATATACATATATTCTATTCTATTCTAAAAGTGTATTTTCTACAAATACAGTATAAAACAAATAAATCGGATTTATTTTTTGGAGTTTACATTAGAAAAACACTACAAATACAGTATAAAACAAATAAATCAGATTTATTTTTTGGAGTTTACATTAGGAAAACACAATCACAACAAACAACCTTAAAATAAAGTTCATTAGTTTTCCTGTCAGTTGCCTCTGAATATTTATGTCTGCTTTTTAACATTTTTGCTAGTACTTTCCAGCACAGAGCAGATGTAATGTCAAAAGTTTGCCCCTGTCTTCAGATCTACTGAAGGAGACAAAGAAAAAAGGCAATGATAAAAAAAATAATAATAATATCACCTCCACTGGAGTCCACATCAACTTCTCCTCCTCCTGCTCTGTTCTCCGTTGCGTGCGTAGCTGCTGTGGGTCAGAGAGAAGACTCAGGTCCCAACCTAAGTCCTGTAAGACAACATTCAACAATGAAGACATTCCTTATTCCACAACATCCCTGTTAATCAGCTGGCAGCTCCAGTTACATTTAAAAATGAAGCAGAAAATTTAGAAAATGATCAGTAACTAAACTCTCCAAAAAACACAAGGTAAAGATGAGCAAACAAACAAAAAAAAAACAAACCATTCAGGTGTCCACACTGAGAGTAGACAGACAGACCTGATATCTCCCAGTCCTGCAGTTAAAAGTAAGGATGGAAGACATCGTCTCCACTTGTGATTCCACCTGAGAGGGAGGAGTCACAGCATCTGTCAGTGGAGAAGTCAGTGACAACAGCAGTTGATTTTCAGAGGGAAAAAAAAGACACAAAAGAAAGAAAAAAAATATGTATTTACTACATTAAATAGTGAATAATAGTGATTGACTACATTACTACAGACTTTCTCAGAATTCTCCCTGATGCCGTTCTTCTATCGTGATGATCTAAAAGAATGGATTAGATTAAACTAGGATAACCCTGACCATGGATACTCCTGATTTATTTCTCCAACATGTGATTTTACACAAAAATAGAGGCAGCAAAAAGAGGCTAGGGACCAAGATAAAACTTATGCTTATTCATTTGAATATATATTTGTCCAATAATTTATCCTGGGTGTATTATAGTAGTCCAGTCATTAACTACAGATAAAGTTAGACATAAGTTTGGATGTAATCTTTTTAAAAAATGAGTAAAATTTGAAATATATATATATATAATAAATGTGTATACATGTATGTATATTTATAAGTGTAGATATATATAGCTGAAATAACTATTAACTAAAAAAACTATTTTATATTATTTTGTATTTAAATTATTTATTTTGTAGATTTTCACCAATTAGCTTTTCTGTTACATTCGTCAAAGCACGCTCTTTCTATCAAAGTTCTAAGAGACTAAATCAACTAAAAAAAAAAAAGAATGTGAATGTCAGCTGTCAACAGTAGGGGGCGCGCTGATATTGGAACGTTCGTATAACGGAAATAGGAATACGTAGTACGGTCCTTATTTCCGGTTGCAGATCCGGCGAGTGAGACATGAGTGTTATTTGTTTGGGCTTCCAGCGGGCGTTCGAGCCAAAAAACTGGGCATGGCGGCTTCGTCTGACTGATTGAAATGGTGGGTTTTTGAAAACAGTTGTCACTGACAACTAACAACTGACAACTTGTCAGTTGTTAATGCAATTTACGCTAGCTTATGTGTCTCGGCAGCTAACGTTAGCTTTTGTCAGAAGTAAATAAAAACGTACAATTTGGTAAAATACATGAAAATGCAAACATGAGTAGCAGCACACTGTCAATGAATATAGGAAATCTGAACAGTGGACGGTAGTAGATGAGTCTGTTAGTTGAAGTAGATAGATAGAGTAGTGTTATTAGTATGAGTACATAATTATTGTTGCCATGTGTGGTGTTGATAGCAATCGCAATTATTATACATTATATTTTGTTATTCTAAATTAAATAGGTGTAATGTGTATGTATAGCAAAGTACACCACAGTATACCTATGTGTGTGTATATATAGGCAGAACTAGTATAGTTATAAGGATGTTATGTGAACAAATATATAAAATAAATAGAAATTATTTTTTTCCATTTTCACTTAATGTTGTTCCAGCTCATTCTGCCTTGCTGGTATTGTATTTTCATTGTAATTTGTGTTTGTTGTAAACCTTCCAGAATTAAAAAAAAAAAAAAAAAAAATTGGAATATTGTGTATGATCTGCATTTATTTCCAGAAAATGATCAAAAACAGGAAAATATGAATGGGATTTCTCATTGCCCTGTAGGGCGTGCATTGTCAAAGTCAAGGGTATGGTATAGGTGAGGAAAGAAAAAACTTTTTTTTAAGTTTAAGTTTTTTTTTGTAAAGAGTAAGTTTAAAAACCCAACCAGAATAACCAACACACAACAACTTTTCTTTTAATAGCAAAACACTTGTGCTCCCAGGAACAGTTATATCCGTCCGGTGTGAAACTAGTGATGTAAACAGATCTCATTGGGAAATGGATGATGGACGCAGTAATTTGAACGACGTGACATTGGTTTTGCAAAATTGCAAATCTATTGTATATAGCTTTACACTTTGCACAATTAATCATTTTCGGACATTTAACCAGGCGTTTTTTATGTCTACTGTCCACACCAACTTGTAATTTTTATAAAGTAACTCAGATGGCATTTACTATATCTGTGAGGAGGAATATTTAATATTAATATTTAATTAATATTTCAAAAATCACCCAAAACATGCCTTACTATAGCCTTACCATCGTGAAAAAATCCATAAAAATAAAAAGTCCCCGAAATGCCTTAAAATGCAAGACTATGTCCTAAAACATGCTGCCAAGTGAATATTTTGTGTTTAAAAGTCCAAAAAATATTTTATATGAATATTTGAAAAATCACCCAAAACATGCCTTACTATAGCCTTACCATCGTGAAAAAATCCATAAAAATAAAAAGTCCCCGAAATGCCTTAAAATGCAAGACTAGGTCCTAAAACATGCTGCCAAGTGATTCTTTTGTGTTTAAAAGTCCAAAAAGTATTTTATATGAATATTTGAAAAATCACCCAAAACATGCCTTACTATAGCCTTACCATCGTGAAAAAATCCATAAAAATAAAAAGTCCCCGAAATGCCTTAAAATGCAAGACTAGGTCCTAAAACATGCTGCCAAGTGATTCTTTTGTGTTTAAAAGTCCAAAAAGTATTTTATATGAATATTTGAAAAATCACCCAAAACATGCCTTACTATAGCCTTACCATCGTGAAAAAATCCATAAAAATAAAAAGTCCCCGAAATGCCTTAAAATGCAAGACTAGGTCCTAAAACATGCTGCCAAGTGATTCTTTTGTGTTTAAAAGTCCAAAAAGTATTTTATATGAATATTTGAAAAATCACCCAAAACATGCCTTACTATAGCCTTACCATCGTGAAAAAATCCATAAAAATAAAAAGTCCCCGAAATGCCTTAAAATGCAAGACTATGTCCTAAAACATGCTGCCAAGTGAATATTTTGTGTTTAAAAGTCCAAAAAGTATTTTATATGAATATTTGAAAAATCACCCAAAACATGCCTTACTATAGCCTTACCATCGTGAAAAAATCCATAAAAATAAAAAGTCCCCGAAATGCCTTAAAATGCAAGACTATGTCCTAAAACATGCTGCCAAGTGAATATTTTGTGTTTAAAAGTCCAAAAAGTATTTTATATGAATATTTGAAAAATCACCCAAAACATGCCTTACTATAGCCTTACCATCGTGAAAAAATCCATAAAAATAAAAAGTCCCCGAAATGCCTTAAAATGCAAGACTATGTCCTAAAACATGCTGCCAAGTGAATATTTTGTGTTTAAAAGTCCAAAAAGTATTTTATATGAATATTTGAAAAATCACCCAAAACATGCCTTACTATAGCCTTACCATCGTGAAAAAATCCATAAAAATAAAAAGTCCCCGAAATGCCTTAAAATGCAAGACTATGTCCTAAAACATGCTGCCAAGTGAATATTTTGTGTTTAAAAGTCCAAAAAGTATTTTATATGAATATTTGAAAAATCACCCAAAACATGCCTTACTATAGCCTTACCATCGTGAAAAAATCCATAAAAATAAAAAGTCCCCGAAATGCCTTAAAATGCAAGACTATGTCCTAAAACATGCTGCCAAGTGAATATTTTGTGTTTAAAAGTCCAAAAAGTATTTTATATGAATATTTGAAAAATCACCCAAAACATGCCTTACTATAGCCTTACCATCGTGAAAAAATCCATAAAAATAAAAAGTCCCCGAAATGCCTTAAAATGCAAGACTATGTCCTAAAACATGCTGCCAAGTGAATATTTTGTGTTTAAAAGTCCAAAAAGTATTTTATATGAATATTTGAAAAATCACCCAAAACATGCCTTACTATAGCCTTACCATCGTGAAAAAATCCATAAAAATAAAAAGTCCCCGAAATGCCTTAAAATGCAAGACTATGTCCTAAAACATGCTGCCAAGTGAATATTTTGTGTTTAAAAGTCCAAAAAGTATTTTATATGAATATTTGAAAAATCACCCAAAACATGCCTTACTATAGCCTTACCATCGTGAAAAAATCCATAAAAATAAAAAGTCCCCGAAATGCCTTAAAATGCAAGACTATGTCCTAAAACATGCTGCCAAGTGAATATTTTGTGTTTAAAAGTCCAAAAAGTATTTTATATGAATATTTGAAAAATCACCCAAAACATGCCTTACTATAGCCTTACCATCGTGAAAAAATCCATAAAAATAAAAAGTCCCCGAAATGCCTTAAAATGCAAGACTATGTCCTAAAACATGCTGCCAAGTGAATATTTTGTGTTTAAAAGTCCAAAAAGTATTTTATATGAATATTTGAAAAATCACCCAAAACATGCCTTACTATAGCCTTACCATCGTGAAAAAATCCATAAAAATAAAAAGTCCCCGAAATGCCTTAAAATGCAAGACTATGTCCTAAAACATGCTGCCAAGTGAATATTTTGTGTTTAAAAGTCCAAAAAGTATTTTATATGAATATTTGAAAAATCACCCAAAACATGCCTTACTATAGCCTTACCATCGTGAAAAAATCCATAAAAATAAAAAGTCCCCGAAATGCCTTAAAATGCAAGACTATGTCCTAAAACATGCTGCCAAGTGAATATTTTGTGTTTAAAAGTCCAAAAAGTATTTTATATGAATATTTGAAAAATCACCCAAAACATGCCTTACTATAGCCTTACCATCGTGAAAAAATCCATAAAAATAAAAAGTCCCCGAAATGCCTTAAAATGCAAGACTATGTCCTAAAACATGCTGCCAAGTGAATATTTTGTGTTTAAAAGTCCAAAAAGTATTTTATATGAATATTTGAAAAATCACCCAAAACATGCCTTACTATAGCCTTACCATCGTGAAAAAATCCATAAAAATAAAAAGTCCCCGAAATGCCTTAAAATGCAAGACTATGTCCTAAAACATGCTGCCAAGTGAATATTTTGTGTTTAAAAGTCCAAAAAGTATTTTATATGAATATTTGAAAAATCACCCAAAACATGCCTTACTATAGCCTTACCATCGTGAAAAAATCCATAAAAATAAAAAGTCCCCGAAATGCCTTAAAATGCAAGACTATGTCCTAAAACATGCTGCCAAGTGAATATTTTGTGTTTAAAAGTCCAAAAAGTATTTTATATGAATATTTGAAAAATCACCCAAAACATGCCTTACTATAGCCTTACCATCGTGAAAAAATCCATAAAAATAAAAAGTCCCCGAAATGCCTTAAAATGCAAGACTATGTCCTAAAACATGCTGCCAAGTGAATATTTTGTGTTTAAAAGTCCAAAAAGTATTTTATATGAATATTTGAAAAATCACCCAAAACATGCCTTACTATAGCCTTACCATCGTGAAAAAATCCATAAAAATAAAAAGTCCCCGAAATGCCTTAAAATGCAAGACTATGTCCTAAAACATGCTGCCAAGTGAATATTTTGTGTTTAAAAGTCCAAAAAGTATTTTATATGAATATTTGAAAAATCACCCAAAACATGCCTTACTATAGCCTTACCATCGTGAAAAAATCCATAAAAATAAAAAGTCCCCGAAATGCCTTAAAATGCAAGACTATGTCCTAAAACATGCTGCCAAGTGAATATTTTGTGTTTAAAAGTCCAAAAAGTATTTTATATGAATATTTGAAAAATCACCCAAAACATGCCTTACTATAGCCTTACCATCGTGAAAAAATCCATAAAAATAAAAAGTCCCCGAAATGCCTTAAAATGCAAGACTATGTCCTAAAACATGCTGCCAAGTGAATATTTTGTGTTTAAAAGTCCAAAAAGTATTTTATATGAATATTTGAAAAATCACCCAAAACATGCCTTACTATAGCCTTACCATCGTGAAAAAATCCATAAAAATAAAAAGTCCCCGAAATGCCTTAAAATGCAAGACTATGTCCTAAAACATGCTGCCAAGTGAATATTTTGTGTTTAAAAGTCCAAAAAGTATTTTATATGAATATTTGAAAAATCACCCAAAACATGCCTTACTATAGCCTTACCATCGTGAAAAAATCCATAAAAATAAAAAGTCCCCGAAATGCCTTAAAATGCAAGACTATGTCCTAAAACATGCTGCCAAGTGAATATTTTGTGTTTAAAAGTCCAAAAAGTATTTTATATGAATATTTGAAAAATCACCCAAAACATGCCTTACTATAGCCTTACCATCGTGAAAAAATCCATAAAAATAAAAAGTCCCCGAAATGCCTTAAAATGCAAGACTATGTCCTAAAACATGCTGCCAAGTGAATATTTTGTGTTTAAAAGTCCAAAAAGTATTTTATATGAATATTTGAAAAATCACCCAAAACATGCCTTACTATAGCCTTACCATCGTGAAAAAATCCATAAAAATAAAAAGTTCACATTAGGTCCTAAAACATGCTGCGTACAGCATGGCGTACATTGTCAAAGTCAAAGTCAAAGGTATGGTATAGGTATAAGTAAGGAAAGTTTTAAAGTTTTTTTTTTTTACGTTTTAAAGTTTTTTTTAAGTTTTTAAGTTTTTTTTTTTAGTTTAAGTTTTAAGTTTAAAAGTTTAAGTTTTAGTTTGTTTTGTAAAGAGTAAGTTAAAAACCCAACCAGAATAACCAACAAAGTCGTGCGTGGACGGCCATTGATTGGTGGGAGTAGAATTTGTCGTTCCAAAATCTGATCACAAGATGGTGCTGTTAAGCTCGTTAAGAGCAAAAGCTTTACCTCCAGCTCCAATACCAGGTATAAACCGGTGGATGGTCTCACTATGATAACGAGTGACTCAAAAGTTCTAATGCAGTATGATAGTAACTGGCCTCTTTTTGAGTGCTGATAACAATACCGAGCTCTTCAAACATCGGTTATGTTTTTCCACTCACACTACACAGCCATCATTCTCTATTAAACTGAGTCATGAACTGCCAACACCGTCAAATAAGTCACCGAGCGGAGCTTTACGGTTAAAAGAGGGAATTTCTCTCTTGCTGGGATTTTGGCCAAATTATCCTTTTATTTTTGAGAACAAAGAGATTTATACATTTCAGTTCTTGAATTTCACCTGCGCCTACAGGAGACGATGGCTAATGTGGGTCAGCAGAGAGGACATTAATAACAACCTAATGAAATGAGACTCATGGCTCATTTGATGCTATCACACACCTGGAGGATCAAAGAGGAGCCAGTTGGCCGAACAGAAGGCTGTTTCTGCACAACTGAGTTTTAATGGAACAAAGTAGAGACGGCTGTGACTTCACCTATGTGTCAACGTAGGTACAGCAGTAAACTGTCGGACTGGAATTACAGAAGATAATTATTTCCATTATTTCCAACAATTTAGGAATACGACTGAATATGTCATGTGTCACTCCGTAGTACGTTGCAAAGCAAAATGAGTAACAATTTAAATACAGTGTTCACTATGTTCAACAGTTAGTTTTACAGTTAGGTACAGTACGAGTGTGAATGTGAATTGGACAGGCCTTAGTCGGGGGGTGTAGCTCAGTGGTTGCATGTATGAGGCCCCGGGTTCAATCCCCGGCATCTCCAGTGTTTTGTGCAGATCAATACTTAGTGACAGGATTGGGTCAAATGAAGAACAAGCACCAAGTAATACACTCTCACTTTCAACAGTTTTAAAAGTCAATTCTGATGTGCTCCCTGGAGAGTTAAGTTTAAACTCTACATGAAATCATTCCTGTGATAAAACTTTAGAAATATCAATGATACAAAGTTCCACTTTTACCGTCAAGGTTAGCGTTTCCCACCACTGTCTTCCTCAAGTTCTATAGGAAAGAAGAGAACATTCATCAGAAATAATAAAGAAATATGACAGAATGTTTTCATCATGTGTGAGTGGACTGGTATAAATCTGATTTGATTTGAGAGGCTATTAGGTCGAGGCAGGGAGTCCGGTGTTTGATGTCGGCTTCCTGTCATCAGCAGACAGATAAGAGGATTCTGCACATACCTAATGACCACGGTGCCTGTGTATAAATGGCAGCCTCGACACACTGACCCACCTGTTGGCTCTCGGGCGAGCCATGGTCATCGCAGCGGTGAGACATGATGATGATGATGAGGTCAGAAGTCTTCATCTGAGTTAATATTTTCGCCGCAAGGAGTCACCTGTTCTTTAACCGCTGTAAATGGACAGAGCACTGATGGTGAGTTTTCATCTCTCATTGTCTTTAACTTTGAGTCCATCAGTGGAAAAAAGAGAAACACACAAATGTCACATCAGTATTTGGTGTGACCCCTCCTTGACTTTAAAATAGCTTTTCTTTTTCTTTTGCTGCCACAAGGCTCAGCCCTTAGAAAAGGTTATTTTAAAAATATCTTGTAGAATTTAACAGAGATATTCTGAGAATGTGGGCTGACTCAGGCCCTTCTGTGTCCCAGACAAAGACACAGACAAGGATAGTCATAATAAATCCCCAAGTAAGCCTTGTGAATATTTGCATTGTTTCTGTCCTTCTGCAAAACAAAATATCTGACACTTTTCTCAGAAATTACATAACAACCAGGTGTCTGTCTGTATTTGTCAGCACCGAGGACAAAATATTTTTAACTGCAAATTGCAGGAAGGCAAACTTGCAGGATAACTTCACATCCATCTCCATTTAAAACAACTAAAAAAAGCCTACTTTACATAAAGTCACTTGATGCAAGTGTATCTATTAGAACCAATTCTGATATGAACGCTAAGTATATTGATTTGATTAATATTTATATACTTAATAAAGGCTACTTACCCTACATATTTTTCAGAACAGTCTACTCTAACATATGTCAACTTGTGTGTCTCTGATTTCAGGTGTCCCTCTTTCTGCCAGGTCTCGCTCTTGTCCTCTCTTTACCACAGATTACTACCCTAAGCAGAGCCAATACAAACAATTCAGGTACTGCTTTCATTCAGGTACTCTTGTTGGCACTGCATTTTTCCAGCAAGCTTCCTGAAAAAGTATTTTTCAGTCGCAAAAGGAAGAAAAAAAAAAGTAAATTTAATTAAACGGAGTTTTGAGTCCAGGAGGTTTGTTTTGTATCATATGAAGGAAATAAAAATATTTCAATAGTTAAAAAGGGCAAAAAGTTGGATTAAACCAGAGTTAGTATTCATTTCAGAAGCTAAAAAAGTGGGAAAAAAGAAGAAAAAAAAAAAGTTCATTTTGTTTCTGTGCTGTTTGACTCATATGATGAGATTCTCTTTACGGTTACGTGTGTCTTCTCAGCAGCTGCATCTGTGGGCTCTGTGTTTGTGACCGAGGCCCTTCAGACGGCGACTGCACTGACTGATGCTGCGTATGCTCGCACGAGTGAAAGGTTAACAAAAAAAAATGCTACGATGGAATATTAGTATTTTTCGTGACTTGAAACTGAGCAGAATCTGATCATGTTTCCAGGGGGAAGAAGTCTCTGTCTGAAGGCACCCTGAAGCCCAGTGACCTACTGTCCCACTTCAAACAAACAGAGGCCAGAACCAAGAACCACATCAGGGCTGCGGAACTCCTGGACAACACAGTGGAGCTGATCAGAGAGATGGTCTACACTCACACTATGGTTCAGACCAACTCTCATGGTATTAAAGCAGCCTTACCCTGATATTCCACCGGATGCGTTGCGGCAGCGCTGCGGCACGGCTGCGTCCAGTCTGTATTCCAGCGGCAGCGACGTGGAGCCTGTTGTAAACATCCGATAATATCGGGCGACTGATATTATCGGCAGAGCATAAACATGTTTACGGCAGTATTGAGGGAAAATGCTAAGATGCAGGCGGCGGAATACCTCTTATTGATTATAATGGCAGCTTAAACTGCAATGCAACTGCAACCAGTGGAACATGGGGGTTACACAACAGTGACTTACTTTGAACACATGGTGAACTGTTTTTCACCGGGAGCCCCAGAGTCAGTCAACATGAGCGATTGTTACTGTTACTTCTGCTATTTCCTGTAGAGTTGCTGAGCGAAACAGATGTGGAAAATCTGCTGCACGTGACGGGCTGTTCTGCCGAAACACAGAGGCCGAGCTGTCAGAGTGGCTGTCTGTCTGAGCGCTACAGGTCCATCACAGGGGAGTGTAACAACAGGTAAACGTTAGAACACACACACACCCTGATTAAAAAAAAAAAAAATGTAAAAATTGTATATGTTGCCCACCTCAGACAGCACCCCAGATGGGGGGCTGCAAACATCCCATACTCTCGCTGGCTCCCTCCTGAGTATGAAGACATGTGGGGGAAGCCCAGAGGCTGGGATCCAGGTCACACCTACCATAATGTCAGCCTGCCTCCAGTAAGAGTCCCACAGCAGCAGCAGCAGCAGCAGCAGCCCTGAATCCGCCTGTGTCCTGCTCCATCACTCCTCACTCTCCTTGTGTTGCAGGTGCGTCTGGTTTCTCAGGAGGTGCTGTTCACTCACAACGACAACATTTCTCTGGACTCCACCCTGTCTCACCTGCTGGTGGAGTGGGGTCAGTGGGTAGACCATGACGTGGTTCTGACACCTCAGAGTCCCAGTACGGCCGCGTTCAAGAGTGGAGCCGACTGCACACACACCTGCAGCAGGGAAACTCCCTGCTTCCCCATACAGGTGCACAAAACCTAAGAGAGATGATGTTAGAGAGCCTCCGGTGGTCTGAAAACGAAACCGTCGGGGGATAGGTGACGGTGATTTACAGTGACGATGAACTACTCGGCGCAGATAGGTATAATTTGTAATTTTTTGTAAGAAAAAAGAGAGACTCAGAGCTGTTGTAATTTCTTCAATTCCTGCGAGTATATTAGGGTTGTGTTCAACTAAACAGGAACGGGTTTTACACTGAGTAAGCACATTGAAAAGCAAAAAAAAAAAAAAAAAAGCAGAAAAAGATTTGATTAAAGCAGTAGTAGTAGATAAAAATATATGCCTCAATACAACTACCATTTCCATATGTAATGCTTGAAAGAGCGGGAAAATATAAGAAAACAAAAGAAGCTTTGCTATACCATAAGTATATAATATAATATAATATAATATAATATAATATAATATAATATAATATAATATAATATAATATAATATAATATAATATATCAGTAATTAATGACACTCCTCCCCAGATACCTCTGTCCGATCGCCGTTATGGCGTCCAGGATTGCATGCCCTTCTTCAGATCTGCACCCAGCTGTGGTGCAGGAGTTCTCCATCGTCCTCACAGAGAGCAACTCAACGCCATCACTTCCTTCGTGGACGCCAGCATGGTGTACGGCAGCTCCACCACTTTGGCATCCTCTCTCAGAAACCACTCCTGCCCTCTGGGATCAATGGCCGTAAACCTCCATCACTCAGACCGGGGGCTGCCCTACATGCCCTTCCTGCCCCGTCGGCAGGCGCACCTGGACCCCTGCGGCCCTCGAAACTCCACCGCCTCGGAGGGTGCAGGCAAATCCACGCGTGGGGAAAACACCACTTCCTGCTTCCAAGCTGGTACGTAACTGAGGGTGGTCGTGTGTTCCTTCCAGGTTTTAGTGGCCAGGCTGTGTTTAATCTGTGTTCTCCAGGGGACTCGAGGGC